CTGTTATTTTTTGCTTCAACTCTCTCAAATCTTGTGGCGGTGGGGTGTATACCTTACTCTTCAGGTATCCCCATAAGAAAAAATCTGCTGGTGTCAAATCGGGACTTCTCGGTGGCCAGTTAATGTCTCCTCTGCGACTGATGACCCTCTCTGGGAATAACTGATGAAGAGCATCCAAGGATTCATTCGTGACATGAGAAGTCGCTCCATCTTGCTGGAAAAACGTGTTTCTATTGTAGCCACCATGGTTCTGTATAGCTGGAGTTAAAAAAGTCCTAATCATGTGGCAGTAGCGCTCAGATGTTACAGTTTGAGCTTGGCCACGATTGTCTTCAAGAAAATACGGGCCAATGATTCCTTGCCCTGACATAGCAGCCCAGACGATAACTTTAGGCGAGTGTAATGGCGTCTCATGAAGATTTTGCGGGTTCTGCTCGGCCCAATATCGGCAGTTTTGTTTATTAACATGCCCGTTAATGTGAAAATTCGATTCATCAGAAAACCATATGTTGTTGTAACCGTTAAAATGCTCTCTCATTGTTCTACAGAACTCTAATCGATTAGCGGGATCTTGTGGTTTTAATTGTTGTGTAACAACAATCTTGTATGGGTGAAAATGCAAATCCTTGCGAATAATGCGATGATCAGTTGACTTATGCAAAGTTAGAGACGCTCCACGCAGTCTTAATGATTGCCGGGGATCCTCGTTAACGGACTGGCGCACACGTTCAATATTTTCGTTCGATCTTGCTGACCTTGGCCGTCCAGGCGGTTTACTAATACACGTGTTTCCAGTGCTCTCGAACTTTCTTACCCAATATTTAATTAAATTTGCGCTTGGGACATCACTCATTCTTGCTATGTTATAATGATTTCTGTACAAACGACGTACAAGCACATAAGAATCCTTGTTTTTATAGAACTCGCGAACACAAAAAGCACGTTGCGGCCCTGTAAAACGCTCCATTGCAACTAAAATTTAACAATGTTGCCAAACGTTTGTCAACTGTCTCGTTTCTCCTGAGCATGCGTATTCCGCCAGAGGACTGATCTAAAAACGAAAATATTTCTGAGACACCATTTACATTTGTAGAACCGGATGAAATAAACTAAGGATATTTCCTGAGTATATGAGCATTCAGTCTCCATGTCCTTTTGAATATCACATTACACCCAATCTGTATATTTCCACATATGGCAAAATTACTATTGATTGCAGTTTTATAAGCACATGCTTATTCATATATTTTACTAGAAATGGATGCAATACAGTCAGGGTGTTTCTTGATTTTATGATTATTCAATTGCATTTTACCTCTGAATGTTGCCTAACAGTGACCACATATTACTGGCTTAGAGTTATAAGGTTCTAATATAAGCTTTTCGAGAAAAACGAGTTTTATAGTAAGTTTATGAATAATCAGTAATCGAAATACCTGCTGTATTTTTGTTCTCGCTCATTTTAAGCCTGCATAGCAAGGTGTTTTCATATAAATTGGTCTATGCTTCTAATAATCATTTTTATTGAAATCATAACTATCATAGATCATAGATCTTGTCATCGCTTCGGTGTCCAACTGGATTTTGTGGCGCAATATTTAAGGCATGACTGAAGGAAGCTAAGGATAATAACGGAATGTTATCTTCCCAATCGACCCCAAATCTTACTTGGAACAGTTTTGTAACATCATTCTTTTACTATTTCGCGATTGAATTCACAAGTGTAACGTCACATGGCTCTTGTACGGTTTTAAGGTTTCGACCACACTTTACTATTGAAATGAATGCTTTTGACTGGTCGTAAAAATAATACGTCGGTTCGAGTTTGATTTCCGCATCAAAAGAGTCATTGTTTTTTATTTTTTGTAAAATAATTCGTTTCCTATCGCTTATGCCCTAAATTGCTTGTTAAGTCCTTGCAGGTTTTAATCGACTAATCTTCGCCCAGAACTCTAATGTTGGCCAACTCGAACGACTAATGATGGATTTGACATGTGAATGTGCTGCCTTCTGGTGACCGAATACCATAATACGATTTGACGTGACAACTCTTTAGGACATAATAATCAAATTCAAGCGGATAACCAAATGGAAATGGTATTTACCATTTTGGGTTGGTATTTACCGATCCGTTCAAGCGAGTGTAGTTATCAGTTTGGTTATAAGATCCGTGACGTCACGAATCAGCTGTTATATGTCATAGTTATCACCGCAAAATTGTGGTATTTACCCAACTCAAGAGTAGTTTTATATTTCTGGTTATTATTTGAAATGTGACAAGTTAGAATTTTGCTGGGTATTGGATATTGATATTGTACTTCATCTTCATTTTAGAGAATATTGATACAGGCTGACTTCAGTTTTACCATAAAGTGGAGCACCTTATTAGTTACACTCATTACGGTTGTTGGGGACACTTTAAATGTAGTTCCTATGCTTAAAAAAGTATCCTGTGTAGCCATATACCACAATAATATTAAAATATGGCCATATAAACTCACTAGATGGTATGCTGAATCAATAAATTTTTTCTTTGACATGCGGAAAAATTTAGAGAATTGAATGTTATCATAGCTACAAAGCCATGGTTCCATCATTAAAAAAAAATCTGAAAAAAACATTTCTCCCATGAATATTATGAAAGGTTTCTTATTTAAACTTTCCATATACAGTTGTAGACGAAAAAGCACCGATTATTAAGTGATAATAAAAATAATCAGAGATTATATACGCGCTTTTCTAAAATAAACAACTTGCAACAAAAACCGCGGTTAAAACCAACGCGTTCAAGCGATTCGTGTAACTGACGTCATCAACCCGTGTGTCATCTTGAACCATATTATAACCGCGGCACATAAAACAGAAATTTTGGTTATTCGCTTGGATTTGATTAATGCGTTTCGATGTAAACCCCATATTTTGTAATCAAATTAGACAGAAGTAATGATATTTGATTTATTCGGGTTTAAGTACGTATAGAACAGATGAAAATAGTTCCAAAACCGAAACAAACCAACTTTTGTCCTCGAATGGACATAATACATAATACGTTTTGATAAGTTGCTCCTCAAACGTGTTAATTTACCAAAAACACAGTACTTTGATTAAACCAAAACTTTATTACATTTTTAAATATCACGAAAAATGAAATATCAAAAATAATACCAATTCATAACATATAATAATATAAGTATGAATTTTAGATATATATATATAATATATATATATATATATATATATATATATATATATATATATATATATATATATATATCTAAAATTCATACTTATATTATTATATGTTATGAATTGGTATTATTTTTGATATTTCATTTTTCGTGATATTTAAAAATGTAATAAAGTTTTGGTTTAATCAAAGTACTGTGTTTTTTGGTAAATTAACACGTTTGAGGAGCAACTTATCAAAACGTATTATGTATTATGTCCATTCGAGGACAAAAGTTGGTTTGTTTCGGTTTTGGAACTATTTTCATCTGTTCTATACGTACTTAAACCCGAATAAATCAAATATCATTACTTCTGTCTAATTTGATTACAAAATATGGGGTTTACATCGAAACGCATTAATCAAATCCAAGCGAATAACCAAAATTTCTGTTTTATGTGCCGCGGTTATAATATGGTTCAAGATGACACACGGGTTGATGACGTCAGTTACACGAATCGCTTGAACGCGTTGGTTTTAACCGCGGTTTTGTTGCAAGTTGTTTATTTTAGAAAAGCGCGTATATAATCTCTGATTATTTTTATTATCACTTAATAATCGGTGCTTTTTCGTCTACAACTGTATATGGAAAGTTTAAATAAGAAACCTTTCATAATATTCATGGGAGAAATGTTTTTTTCAGATTTTTTTTAATGATGGAACCATGGCTTTGTAGCTATGATAACATTCAATTCTCTAAATTTTTCCGCATGTCAAAGAAAAAATTTATTGATTCAGCATACCATCTAGTGAGTTTATATGGCCATATTTTAATATTATTGTGGTATATGGCTACACAGGATACTTTTTTAAGCATAGGAACTACATTTAAAGTGTCCCCAACAACCGTAATGAGTGTAACTAATAAGGTGCTCCACTTTATGGTAAAACTGAAGTCAGCCTGTATCAATATTCTCTAAAATGAAGATGAAGTACAATATCAATATCCAATACCCAGCAAAATTCTAACTTGTCACATTTCAAATAATAACCAGAAATATAAAACTACTCTTGAGTTGGGTAAATACCACAATTTTGCGGTGATAACTATGACATATAACAGCTGATTCGTGACGTCACGGATCTTATAACCAAACTGATAACTACACTCGCTTGAACGGATCGGTAAATACCAACCCAAAATGGTAAATACCATTTCCATTTGGTTATCCGCTTGAATTTGATTATTATGTCCTAAAGAGTTGTCACGTCAAATCGTATTATGGTATTCGGTCACCAGAAGGCAGCACATTCACATGTCAAATCCATCATTAGTCGTTCGAGTTGGCCAACATTAGAGTTCTGGGCGAAGATTAGTCGATTAAAACCTGCAAGGACTTAACAAGCAATTTAGGGCATAAGCGATAGGAAACGAATTATTTTACAAAAAATAAAAAAACAATGACTCTTTTGATGCGGAAATCAAACTCGAACCGACGTATTATTTTTACGACCAGTCAAAAGCATTCATTTCAATAGTAAAGTGTGGTCGAAACCTTAAAACCGTACAAGAGCCATGTGACGTTACACTTGTGAATTCAATCGCGAAATAGTAAAAGAATGATGTTACAAAACTGTTCCAAGTAAGATTTGGGGTCGATTGGGAAGATAACATTCCGTTATTATCCTTAGCTTCCTTCAGTCATGCCTTAAATATTGCGCCACAAAATCCAGTTGGACACCGAAGCGATGACAAGATCTATGATCTATGATAGTTATGATTTCAATAAAAATGATTATTAGAAGCATAGACCAATTTATATGAAAACACCTTGCTATGCAGGCTTAAAATGAGCGAGAACAAAAAATACAGCAGGTATTTCGATTACTGATTATTCATAAACTTACTATAAAACTCGTTTTTCTCGAAAAGCTTATATTAGAACCTTATAACTCTAAGCCAGTAATATGTGGTCACTGTTAGGCAACATTCAGAGGTAAAATGCAATTGAATAATCATAAAATCAAGAAACACCCTGACTGTATTGCATCCATTTCTAGTAAAATATATGAATAAGCATGTGCTTATAAAACTGCAATCAATAGTAATTTTGCCATATGTGGAAATATACAGATTGGGTGTAATGTGATATTCAAAAGGACATGGAGACTGAATGCTCATATACTCAGGAAATATCCTTAGTTTATTTCATCCGGTTCTACAAATGTAAATGGTGTCTCAGAAATATTTTCGTTTTTAGATCAGTCCTCTGGCGGAATACGCATGCTCAGGAGAAACGAGACAGTTGACAAACGTTTGGCAACATTGTTAAATTTTAGTTGCAATGGAGCGTTTTACAGGGCCGCAACGTGCTTTTTGTGTTCGCGAGTTCTATAAAAACAAGGATTCTTATGTGCTTGTACGTCGTTTGTACAGAAATCATTATAACATAGCAAGAATGAGTGATGTCCCAAGCGCAAATTTAATTAAATATTGGGTAAGAAAGTTCGAGAGCACTGGAAACACGTGTATTAGTAAACCGCCTGGACGGCCAAGGTCAGCAAGATCGAACGAAAATATTGAACGTGTGCGCCAGTCCGTTAACGAGGATCCCCGGCAATCATTAAGACTGCGTGGAGCGTCTCTAACTTTGCATAAGTCAACTGATCATCGCATTATTCGCAAGGATTTGCATTTTCACCCATACAAGATTGTTGTTACACAACAATTAAAACCACAAGATCCCGCTAATCGATTAGAGTTCTGTAGAACAATGAGAGAGCATTTTAACGGTTACAACAACATATGGTTTTCTGATGAATCGAATTTTCACATTAACGGGCATGTTAATAAACAAAACTGCCGATATTGGGCCGAGCAGAACCCGCAAAATCTTCATGAGACGCCATTACACTCGCCTAAAGTTATCGTCTGGGCTGCTATGTCAGGGCAAGGAATCATTGGCCCGTATTTTCTTGAAGACAATCGTGGCCAAGCTCAAACTGTAACATCTGAGCGCTACTGCCACATGATTAGGACTTTTTTAACTCCAGCTATACAGAACCATGGTGGCTACAATAGAAACACGTTTTTCCAGCAAGATGGAGCGACTTCTCATGTCACGAATGAATCCTTGGATGCTCTTCATCAGTTATTCCCAGAGAGGGTCATCAGTCGCAGAGGAGACATTAACTGGCCACCGAGAAGTCCCGATTTGACACCAGCAGATTTTTTCTTATGGGGATACCTGAAGAGTAAGGTATACACCCCACCGCCACAAGATTTGAGAGAGTTGAAGCAAAAAATAACAGATGAAATAAACGCCATTCCTCGAGCAATGCTTCGGAGAGTGATCGAAAACTTCAGTTCGAGATTAAGAGAGTGTGAAAACATGAACGGTGCTCATTTATCCGATACTCTTTTCCATAAATAAAATTAATGTTTAGGCTTTCGTTTGGTAATAAATTTATCTTTGTAAAAATATTCTAAGTATTTTTATTTATGGCATAAAATAAGAAAATATTTATGAGACACCCTTTACATATAAAACCAAGTTGATCTTGTTAAACATTATGTGAATATAATAAATACATGGATTTTGCAAACAAAATCGATTGAACAATCATTTCAGATATTATGTTCTATCCACGCACCGAGGGAACGCGAACGGGAAATGTGTGCGTTCTATACAGGCTGTCCGCAAAGTTGGGATTTTACACAGCATATAGATAATGACAAATAAACTGTTTTTCCTAATAGCATATACACCAGTCTAAAGATAACCTACATCATGTCGAAAATGAAAGGTGAGAAGGCATCTTTAGGATTGTCATTTAGGTTTTTCGGGCTGTTGAGCCGTGGTCGGGTTGGATTTGATCCAGAGCTTTCGGCTACGTCTGCGGTAGCCATCTTCAGTGGCGCTGTCGGCAAGAGCGAAGTGCTCGGCTTGGCGGGTCGACTGAAACTGATCCGTCAACTGGATGGGCGTGGGGTTTTATAGGCGATCGGCAGACTGAGGATTGAGCTGTCTGGTGGGGGTACTCTGGGTCCCTTGAGTGACGTGCTTTTAGCGCAGTGATTTTTAGAATTGGAAACCACGTTTTGTTTAAAGCAATGGCGTCTTCTTTTCTATTGAAATTATCATTGAAGATGGCTACCGCAGATGTAGCCGAAAGCTCTGGATCAAATCCAACCCGACCTCGGCTCAACAGCCCGAAAAATCTAAATGACATTACAATTAGCCGTGAAAGCCTTCATTCTTCAATTTCATCTTTAGGATTGTTTGCAATTTTATTGAGGGTTCCAATGATTTGTATGCCTGGAATACCGTCGAAAGCTTATATTTGTAGAGTGGCCTTGTGTAGATATCTAATGAATTTGTATTTATTTTGTTTTCTATTTGCATACAGTAAAATCCATACTAACATACATATTGCACTTTTCTGTCTCGTACACGACGTCAGAGGTATTCGGTTTTCAGGGTATGGATTTCACTGTATATCATTCGAAGTTAAATAAAATATTGGTAATACTGTGGTTATGCTTTATTTTCATAATTCCTTACAATTCTTCATACTTCATCAAAATCGTTTGTCTAAGTTTGTCCGGAAAGTTATTGTTTTTCTATTTTTGTGGGATAAAAAAGCCTGCAAGTCTCGGCAAATTGCGTACGTTATTTTCAAGGATATATGCCTCGCATACAGGATGGTTAACCCTTAATTACTCGCATGGGGTCAAAGCAGTTTCGCATTCAAAAACGAAGGATTTCCCGCGGTCCTAATTTCCCCGCGCCCCCGCTAGCTTGAGACCGCGCGTCGACGTTTGTGTTTTAGTAGCGACGATGTCACAGGAGTCTAAGGACACGTCGTTGCGCTTTTGAGCAGTGACCCCGTGCGACTAATTACGTTACTTTTTTGAAAAAGGTAAGTTGCTTATTTTATGTATTTTTTGTGTTTTATTGATCCGATTTGTATTATTGAATGTCCAGTTTATAAATTTATTTAATAAATATGTTTTGTGTAGTTTTATAAAATGAAAGTACCGAAAAATTACGTTTTACTATGAGTTTTGTATCTGTTTCCAGAATTCGTCATGGATAGAAGAGAACAAATTGAGAACTGGTTGGTTGAGGCTTCTGATGAAGAACAAGTTGGAGGGTCAAATTCTGAGTCGGAGTTAGACGAGATAACACAAAGCGATATAATAGTGCTAGTGAAATCGACGAATTGTCCGCACACTCCAGTGAGTCTTCAGACAGCGAGGACGACGGCTGTGCAGGGCAGTATGATAAATTCTATTTTACCAGACATAATGGCAGAAACGGTCCTAAACAAAGATGGTCAAAGTCTCCACCAACAAGCTCCGCAAGAACACGAAGACATAATATAACTTTACACTTACCCGGTGTCAAGTCATCGGCGAAATCCGCAAAGACTGCTTTGGAATGTTTTAGTTTGTTTTTTTCTGATGACATTATCAATTTGCTGGTAAAATGTACAAATCAGTACATCGAAGTCGTCAGAGGCAAGTTTCAAAGGGAACGTGACGGAAAAGATACAGACGTTGAAGAAATAAAAACATTGCTGGGTTTGTTGATCATGTCTGGAGTGTTGAGAGCTTCACATCTCAATTTCATAGATCTCTGGGCCACCGACTGAACCGGTGTAGAGATGTTTCGTTGGAACACTGAAGAAAAACAAACCCGATATACCTGAGGAGATTTTACCAGACAGAAGTCAATTCAGCTGTCTGTTCGGATTTCAAAAGACTCTAACCATGGTTTCAAATGTGCCAAAACCAAATCAAGCTGTTGTGTTGTTTATCCTCCATGCACCATGGAGCTTACATCGGCCCAGGTTCAGGTTATCAGCAGACACCTGGAATAATTATGTATTACAGCTTCACTAAAGGAGGAGTGGACACCAATGATCATTTGTGTGGTACATACAGCGCAGGAAGGCGAACCAAACGATGGCCGTTAGCTATTTTCTTCCATCTTATAAACGTTGCATGCATAAATGCTCTCGTTGTACATCGGGCAAATACCACTAAATCACGTACTAAAATGACGCGTAATTTTTTGCGGCAATTTTCCGTTGAACTTGTCCATAATCACCAGAAACGTCGGCTTGATGTCCATTCAACTCCTAAAGTAATAAAGAAACGACTTATAGAAGTTCATGACTTGGACAACCGCGCCCCACCAACCACTGCAAAACGTGGGCGTTGCAACAACTGCCCGCGGAAAAGTGATCGAAAAGTATTCACCAAATGCAAAAAGTGCACAAAATTTGTGTGCAATGATCACTCAGACATATACTGTCAACAGTGCAAGAAAAGTGATTCGGATAGTTCCTAACATAATCATAAAAATTTGCCTTGATCTCTTGATATAAGTGCAAATTGTTAATTTTCAACTATTATTTTATATAAGCTCATTTTTTTTCATTAGATAGTAATTCATGTTAGTTCCCTTAAATATCATAATATAAATAAAGCACTTTAATAATAAAATAGTTTGATTTCATTTTATATTTAATATATATTAAAAAAATATCCTACAACTTGGGGTCACCTGTGACCCCATGCGAGCAGTTATGTAATGTTCTTCATGCGAGTAATTAAGGGTTAAACATATTAATGACCGATTTATTTCTCTAGTATCTTCCAAAAAAGGAGTGAATATGTTTTCATCTTAATTTTTAGTAAAGTTACGCTTGTGTTTGCGCGTTATCCTACATCATCTCGAGTTTGTCTATTCCAGAAATTTGTTTTCAATTTGAGGCAAAATTGCCACGTAGTATAGTGGCGGAAAAGCAAGTTCTTTTATGTCCAAACTTAGTGTTGAGTTGCCATTTGAAATGCAGTCGTGTTTCAGAAAATGAGAAGTAGCCTTATTCAACGACTCGGCGGAACTTTCACCAAGTACTCGGATATTGCTACATTTGAGGAAGATGTTAAGGACACAAGTTGAGAATGTTCTTGCAAGGATCGATATTAGATCGTCATATGTCCTAGTACAATTGTAATGCTCTGTCCAACTCTACAGTCAAAACTTGACATTTATGACATACGTCAATTCTTCGTCTTCTGTGAGCCTTTTGAGTTTCAAATTAGTGTTGTGGTTGTGTTCTGTGACTGCAAAACTGTACCAAACATTTATGTAAATTTATTAGAAATAGAAGTATTATAAATTTTGTAATCAGTTCATCGTCTTTCTATCTTTAATAAGGTATTGTATTAATGCTATACTAGAGTAAAAACTTGTAAAGCAGAATTTTAATACTTGAATCAGGATTGTTAACAAACCTGCCTCTTGTATAAACGATCATGGACGCTGGAGACATCATGAAGATAGAAGTTGGATTCCAGGCAGTAGATACAAACACCAAGCTATTTGAACTAAAACATTCAGGTTTGGATAGGTTAGGGATTCTAATTCATTTTCTGGATATTTTTTATCATATATCCTATATTTCAACGGCGCTTACTTTCAAGATGTGACTTCCAGTTCCAGAAATTATATTTCACTTAAATATCAAACTTCAGACTGATGGTGTTTCAGAACTGCAATATGTTTGTGGATAACTAAGGAGCACAATTATGCTAAGGCTTTGATAAAAAGTGGGGTAGATGAAGAACTGAAAGTTGAAAGCTGTCTTGGTGACAACGAGAAATATCCAGTTATGGGAATTACAGAGGAATGTATCATCAAAGATGAGTGTGATAATGATGATACACTTTTAGGTACAAATGCAGAAATAGTTCCTGACAGGTAACAGTTTTTTTCTGTTTTTCATGTCCTACAACTGGTGAGGAAATAATTTTAATGTATAAAATTTCAAAAATCATGTCAACTAATTTCATACTACTAATCCTGGGCTCTGTTATAACTTGTTTTTATGATATGAAAGTTGTGAATGTGGGGTTTCTGAGGATGAGGTATGTGATTATATTGTATTTATTCTATTTTAGAAGCGTTAGTGAATATAGTGAGGATAATGGTCAAAATGTTGCCCCTCCTGAAGTTGAGGGCAAAATAAGGGAGCTGAAAATCACAATTGAGAGGATGGATCCAGAAATAATCGAAAAAATGAAATATTCTTCTACAGATACAGACACACCTGACCTTCATGCAAAAGAAAAAAAGGATCTTCCGTCAAAAAGGTAATTGTGGCTAGTTATATATTTATTGAGTCTAGTATTATTTACGTTTGTCTTTCAACATGAAATCTCTGTTGGATGGACACCAATGGGACCGACTGAAAGCATCTGTTTAAGAAATACAACAGAAATCGTGTTTTTAATGCAAACAGAATATATTAAAGAAACTGAGAAACATATATCTATATAAAAGGTGTTGAAATAAACAAAAAACTTTAAACTTAAGAAAAAAAAGGTTTGTTTAGATATATTCAAAGTATGTACATACAAATTATGTATAATATATGTATTTTCACATATATGTAGTAACACAAAGCAATGAAATAAAAAATCACTTTGAGGTTGCCAAAATTCATATTTTGTCGTTTATCGCCTCTTTTTCTTTAAAATGACGTCTAGAAATTGTATTTCTAATTCAAAAGGAAGCTCCAAAGACTCTGTATCTCCATGATTTTCAAAATAACTTATGAGCTTTTTTTACCATAATTTCGAATAACTTCTGTTGGTACTGGAATCTCATTGATATCAGAATCTTTGGATAGTTCTTGTATGTCAGGTGTCTCTGCCTCATTTAAGTGGTCTTCACTTAGTCCCAAGTGCTTTTTGCCAAATAAACTGCATCCAGTGATGTTAACTCAAAAGCTGTACCAGCAGTTTCAATGTCTTTTAGCTGGTGTTTCAGTATTAGACTTTGGTTATAAATGTTAAACATCTCTATAAGCTGATGTACAAGTATGGTGCAAAATAAGATTTTTATATTATTCAAGTGAATGTCTTGATGAGATCCTGTCTCATCTAATATTAATGAAATGTTTCTTTTTTCTTTAGCCATTTTCCAATCTAATTATTTCAAGCACTATGTCATAATTTGTCTTGTCATCCAAGCTTTCCTATTCAATTTTCAAAGTTACAGGTTATGTTAATGTTTTTGAAAGCTCTAGGTTTAGCGCACTTTAAAACCTATATTGTGGTGAATTCTAAATTTATTGAGCCAACCAGACGAAGCACAGAATGTAGAATATCCCAGCGAATCGGCTATTTCTTTTGCTTTGCATCATATGAACCTAAAAAAAAAAAAATATGTTTTTGTCACGACAAACCTATTGATAATCTCACTGTTTTTATCTTTATTTAGAATTGTTATGTAAAAAAAATCAACATAATAATACAAAAAATCTTATCTAAAAAAATGATGTGCATACATACCTGTCAAAGGAATCCCTTTAAAATGTTTGAACAAGTTCCTTACACTTAACTTCTCCTTATTGTGAACTTCAACAATCTCAATATTTTGTTTAAGCATCAGAATTTTTCTATTTGGAGCCATTTCTGTTTAAAGGTATCCGCAAAGGGGAATTTCACTGTATTATACAACTCACTGCATAATTTTTTTCATATAAACCATTTTTTGACACCACACTTCTTATTATCTTATTTCACTTTTGATTAATTTGTATGGTTTTTTATCTCCTTTGGCAATGCAGAAAAACGGGGAAACCATGGCCGAAAAAGGTGTCCTTCTAAATAGGAGTTCAAATAGAAACGACAGAGTATGACTATAAATTTGTTCAAATAATGCTATTGTGTCTTAGTAAGATGTCATCTTTTAATGAGATACAGGATGTCGAAGTTTATTTTTCAATTTTGTTTGAGAATCGAAGATCTTTGATGACGAGGAGTGATTGTATTGTATTTATTCAATTTTAGAAGCACCTGTGAATATAGGGTGGATAATGGGCAAAATGTTATTCCTGCTGAAGTTAGGAGCAAAATGATGGAGCTGATAATAAAAATTGAGAGGATGGATCCAGAACTTCTTAAAAATATGAAATATTCTTCTCAAAATTCAGACACACATTCCTTTGATGAAAAAGCAAAAGCAGTTCTTCCTTCAAAAAGGTAATTATGGTTTATTATTTATGTTTAATAATAATGATAATTTCACTTTTGCTTGTGACAAAAAATCTTATTTACTTACATACCACCTACTGCATAAACTTAAGTATAAAATAAAACTGGTTGATGCTACATTTTCACAAAAAAATTAAACGATATTTTATTTAATTTGTGATACGCGTTTAGGCTTGTAATTGGTAAAATTTAACTTATGGGAGAATTTATAAAAATTAAAAGAATAGTATATTATGTACCTAGTTTGTGGGGTGTAGCACTACTAACACTATATATTACAAAATATTTGGTTTTTCATCACAATTCCCAATCGCGTATTCAACACTTGGAATAGAAAGAGTGTAAAGTGAGCAGTCAATAGATCCAATGTGTATTTTTGTGGAATATTTTTTTTGTGAAAGCCTACTTGTGTTTCCATTAAAAAATGTTTCTTCTATAATCTGCATTAAATGGTTATATACTATGGAATTTTCCAATATCTGCTAACACATTTATTGGATGTTGCTACATTTTTTGGAATTGATTTACCTTAGGAACTGGCATTGTAGAGCATTTCAAAATGTCAGGCAAAGAACTCATCATTGAACAATTTATCCAATTTCGGATGACTTTAGTAGTGATTTCAGTACTGTTGCAGTTGGATTTTTAACTGTTAATTTTTTTCTGAGAAAATGCAATTATTTCATTTTACACAGTAATAGCAATTTGATGTCTTCCAGTGAAGACAAGCAGGTAAAAAGCACGCTATGTCATGTGTTCTTCATATTCCAAAATATTTCCAATATTTCCAAAATATGTGGTAACGGTTATAAAAATCGTAAAAATAAATTTCCATGTGAAATACCTTGAAATCATCAACGAATTAAAGATTATATAGATATATATATATATAATTTGAGACGTGGTCATTGTCGTCTAGACCAGTTAGGTGAAAAATTAAAGGATCTTATTTATGATTCTATGCCCACCATTTTGTGCAATCATCAGGTGGTTCACGATGTAATTTTTAACTTTCGTTTTAAATATTTTTAATCCGTTTTAGTTTATTCTTGACATACAGCTGTGTGTAGTTTGTATTAATTTGACAATTGTACCATGTATCCAGCTTTCACCAGGTTACTGGGTGTTTCCCTCAACCTAAACGTAAATAACATTTAGCAACATCCTCACATACTACTCTCCTGATGATGATGGCAAAGACCATTGAAAGCTAAATAGAATAATAAGCATAAATAGTCCTTTTTGCTTAAATTTTGTCGAAGTACCCAACAAAAGGCGGAAGCTTTAATTATTCACCTATATATATACAGGGTGACTTCGAAGTTGAGTCATTTATTTTAACAGTGAGTAGATCTGATGAAAAGAAATGTTTTTTTCCTTTACCATTTTTCTGGTAAAATTAAAGTAACACAGTTATAGCCCTTTGGAAGTTTGAGTACCGCCCTGTTCAATAATACTCGTAATATCATGTGCTCGTGTTTGGCAACAACGGATATAATCCGCCTCGGTTCATCGCATCGGAAACAAAAAGCGAAAGAATTTGAACGATGTTTTACAATTATTTTCTTCAGTTCAGTTATACATACAGTCAGTGACAGTCGGTAAGGCGTGTGAATAGTGTCTGTTGCGTGGCTCAAACGAAATAAAAAATGGCACATGTTTATGCGGATCGCTTTCCCAATCGAGTGCAACCAACCCCTCGTGCCTTTGTTAATGTAGTACAAACGGGCTCGTGAATCAAGTGACTTAAGACCTCACAGGAGACCTCACGATCAAATACAGGTCCGCACTGAAATACTTGTCGGGAGGATACTTTATAAAACAAGGTAAACAATTTTTTTTATTTTACACACATATTTGGATTATCTTCCTTCTACAATCATTATCTGAAAATTAATGACTCAACTTCAAAGTCACCCTGTATATATATATATATATATATATAAACTTGAGACGTGGTCATTGTCGTCTAGACCAGTTAGGTGACAAATTCAAAGCTTCCGCCTTTTGTTGGGTACTTCGACAAAATTTAAACAAAGAGGACTCTTTACACTTTTTTAATCTCTCTAGCTTTCAATGGTCTTGCCATCATCATCAGGAACTGCAATAACATTGAGAAAAGTAGCAACAATTATGCAAAATGAATTTAAATTAACTTACAGTAGTATGTGAGGATGTTGCTAAATGTTATTTACGTTTAGGATGAGGGAAACACCCAGTAACCTGGTGAAAGCTGGATACATGGTTCAAAGGTCAAAATTATACAAACTACACATATGACAAGAACAAATTAAAAACAGATTAAAAATATTTAAAACGAAAGTTAAACATTACATCGTGAACCACTTGATGATTGTACAAATGGTGAGCATAGAATCATAAGTAAGATGATTTGCCAAAGGTTGTACAAATGAATAAACATAAACTTCCATGTTGTTAGTGATGTGAGAAATATTTTGAGGTTCTGAAAAAATAAATTGTAGCTAAGGCATGCAACGAAAATAAGAGATAATGGGCAGTCTTTACATTTAAGAAATACGACGAGTTTTATTGGCCACGTTCTTGAGAAACACCGTGACGTTGAATCAAAATCATTCTAAATAAAATACTTAGTGCCCCTGGTTCCAGATATGCAGTATTCAAAGTGTTTGCACTAAATTTTAGTTAGATGTTATTTGGTAACATTAATTGCTTATTTCTTGTAATTGAATCCACAGTATTTATCTGTTACATTTTTCGAATTTCAAGCTTTGACCATATCGGAACTCTTTTCCGAATATAACTATAGTTATATTTTTTCAGGGCTTTGAATCAAGATGCAATGAAACAAACCAGCCTATAGTTGACAAAAAAACAAACACCGAGTCATTTTTTTGTCATAATTGTAATTCTTCTGCTAGATCTAAGTATCTTCTGATTAGTCATATGAAAGAACATAGAAATCAGAATAGTAAAAA